GCTGGAGCTGGGGGTCAGACTAGATGGCCCAGGAGGACCCTTCTGATTCGCTCTGTTTCTGTTTATCGGTCTTCACCATAGGCTAGAGATAAAGAGAACCGTAAAAAAACTGCATAGGAAAAGCAGGAGAGGGAAAAGAACACACTGAAAAAAGAACCAAAATAAATGTAATCTCGTCAAACATATGAAGCTGTCATATGCCAAGTGAAACTACTGGTTCTTTCCTTCCAGAGCTGCCTAGCAGAAAATTTCCAGGGCCACAGGTAGAGAAAGGTGTTTCCAATAAGGTGTTTTCTCTAGTTAAGGGCCATAGTATTTCTAAACTGTCTAAACTCTCAGGCTCTGTGTTACAGAAGATCATTTGTTAGAGCTGGAAGTTGGGACAGAGGTATAGACAAATGTCTATGTATTGAGAGGTAGCGTAGCATAATGGTTAGAATGTTGCTCTAGTTCCCACGTGGTTGTAAACTGCATGACCTTGCACCATTCACTGGCTTTCAACTAATTTTACTTTCAACTTATTTTATATTGTTAACTTGTTTTATATTGTTAATTTATAGTATTTTAATTGATTTATTTGTGAGCCGCCCCGAGGCTTCGGCGAATGGGGCGGCATAGAAATTTTCTAAATAACTAAATAAATAAATAATTGACCTCACAGGGTTGTTGTGAAGAAAAAATGGAGAGGAGTTTTATGTAAGTGCCAAGAGGGTAAAAAAAGGGATCAATACAAGCTTTGCTGACAAATCCAGTACCACCATAAGATTCAGTATAAAAACTATTAGAATTAAACTACCCTAAAAGAACCAAAGTTGTCTAGCAGTTAGCAGGTCAGGCTGAGACCTGAGAAGTCTGGGTCCTGTTTCAGCCATGAAGCTTTCTGGGCCACTTTGAGCCAGTCATGAACTCTCAGCCAAACCTCCCTCGCAGGGTTGTTGTTGTGAGGATAAAATGACAGTTTTGGCAATGCTGAAGTGATGTTGCGGTGAATTTTGAGGGTGCAAGAGCTCATGACAGCTAGCCCTTGTAATCACACTCCGAAGGAGAATCCATAGTCAAATATTATCAATATTGAATCCCCGAAGATCTAACGCTCTGCTTAAAACTCCTATCGCAAAATGCAGACCTCCAAAACAGGCAGACTAATAGAATCTCATACTTACGTGGCATGTCTGCAGTCCTACACTATTTGCAGAAATTATATTCTGTCCAACTGGCAAATGCCCTTGGGACATTGCATTTTAATAATAGTCAAGGCAATAAACCCCACAATGGAAGTATTAAACATGGGAAAGGTTAAAGGGGGAACTGCAACATTAACAGGTGAAAGATTAGATGCTTGCTGGAAGGAGGAGGAGGGCCTGGAAGGACACAATCCTAAGCAGGTTTACACAGTTGCAAGCATAGTTGTAAGCCTTTTTCTGCCTAAACATGCATCAGATTGTGCCTTAATGCAGGGAGAGCACCAGATGGCTCTTTCTGGGAAGGCCATTCCACAGATGGGAGCCACTACCAAGAAGGCTCTTTCTGTGGTTGCAGCCTGCCAGTGCATTGTGGGCAGTGGAACCCAGACAGGATGAGATGAGCCATTGGGCACGAACTGAGGATGCCCCGTCACTTGGGAGTAAGCACCACTGCATTCAAGGATGCTTCATTCAACAGGACACTTGGTTCAACTTGCTCCCCTTGCCTGACCTGCATCAGCTGCCCTGTGGGAAGGAAGGAGAGACAGGATCAGGCAACGAGAGAAGGGGGTCTGTTCAGTGGGACTGCTCCCCACAGGAGAAGAGAGGGAAAGCAGGGTCATTCTGCTGATTTCTTCCTCTTCCATCCCGATCCCCTTTTCCTTGTGCAGCATATCTTCGTAAATTGTAATCCTGCATGCAGGTTTTTAAAAAATCGTTGGCAGGTCAGCTTCTAACTGATTGTTGCTCAAGGAATTCTGATTGTCCCAACAGCCTTTTTTGACTTAGGAGTGAGATGATATTTAAACTGCAGCTTTCTGCAACCTGATGGCCTTCAGAGGCATTTGGACTGTAACTCCCAGAATTCCCATCCGGTAGGACCATTGACTGGGAATTCTGGGTGTTGCAGTCCAGACATGTCTGGAAGGAACAAGGTTGGGCAAGGCTGCTTTAAAGAAATAAAATGAACTTGTAGAGTGTGTTGCGCTCTCTCTGTGTGTCTTTGCACCTGCGGTGGTGCTGAGTCCATGCAGTGCTGCTGCCGGCAGGGTGGGTGAAGGGACAGGTGAATTTTGCCTCTGCCGTCTCCTTTGACATGTTATCCTCCAGCTGGGCCTTGGAGCCTGCTGGGGCTGGGCCTAGGCCTGGGCCTGGAGGGGCCACAAGATCTGGCAGGCCCAGCCTCTGGAACGCCCCCTTTTCTTCCTCCTGAAATGACGAAGGTGCCCTTGGGAAGCAGCACCCTGGCTCATCCCACCGCAGCCGTAGGTCCAGGGGGATGGGTCAGAAGCCAGTCCCTCCATCCCAGGGACTTCTCCAGCCCCAGGAGCAGCCCTTGGAAACTTGTAAGGTCCCTGGGAGCCATAGGCCTGTTCGCTGGGGAAGCCACCCTGTTGCAGTGCTCTGCAGCCCCTGAATATGGAGGTTGCACTCATCCTACGCAGCATCGGAAGAGTGGGAAGGCAGTCTTCCAGCATTTTTTTAGGAGGGCTTTTTGCTTTGGAGTGGGAAGGAAGGAAGCAGACGAGGCCTCAGGATAGCCCAAACCCTGTGCCTCTGGTTGCCTCCCCCCCCTCCTTCCCCCTCCCCTCCCCTCGCACCAGAGCCTCCCCCTCTGCCCCTTTCCAAGGATGCACTGCAGTCCCGACTCGGAGAGGCATCTGGCGTGCTAGCTTGAAGAGGCGGTCGGACCTCCAAGGTCTGAAGGCTGTCTCTAACCTCAGGGCTGGGAACCTGTAATATAGCATATTGTTTTGCTAGAAATACAGCCCATCTTGCAAAGCTGTGTTCCCCTCTGTTACCCTTCCACTGAACCACCCACGCTGCCTTTTACATTTCTGGATAAGAACTCCTCTACCAAACCGATGAATGGAATGGGGTGGGGGAACCTTTTGTATCGTATAATAGAGCACATTTTCAGTGAAACATCACCAGCTTTGGCTATCTGTGCGTTCTGCTTCTGATGCTGGTTACACAAAGGACTTCTGATTACTTCTAGCAGCAAGTTTTGTTGAGAGAGAAAATGTCATGATAGTACCTTTTGCCCTCAGTGGATATGGCTTTTAAAGCAATTTTGTTGACTAATAAAGGGGGTTACTGTGAACTGTGGGAACCTGCTCACTGTGGTTTTCTGTACATTTCAGAAACATGTTTTTTTAATGTACCCAACGTTAGTTCTCAAGGCCAATTGCTGGTGATAACTGAAGCTATCTTGGCTGACTGAACAATGGGGGAATATTTTAAAAACTAAATTGCAATGCTGTAAAAAGAATGTTAAACCTTTATGCATGTTTGATGGTGGTTCAGGTTTCTCCAAGCAGAGGAAAATAACATTCTGCATTGGCGGTATGGTGCTTCCTCTTTGTTGCTCTTGAAAAGCTCTGAAATAAAGTTTTCTAAATAAAGGAAACTTTTACAGGTGGGATTGCCTTGTCCAAAACTGGGTTGGCAAATCGCTCTTGGGAGCTGTATTATCACTGTTGGTATTATGGCCTGGACTGAACTCCTGCATAAGCAGTCAAAGGCTCTTTGACTCCATTCGCTCAAGGCCTGGGAAAAGCTCTCTCCTTCTTACTGAGAGCCACTTTGGTATAATGATTGGGGTGCCAGCCTGGGACTTGGGAGATCTGGGTTCTAGTCCCCACTCAGCTATGAAACTTATTGGGTGACTCTGGGCTGCTTGCTGATTCTCAGCCCAAACCACCCAACAGGAGGATAAAATGGAGAGGACGGTTAGGTAAGTTACCCTGGGCTCTTTGCAAGGAGGAGAAACAGATACAAATGGAATAATAAATGCATTACATTGTACAACTGCTCTGGGGCACAGAGAAAGGGAGTTTTAACGCAGAGGTTTCTTTGCTTGTGACATGGAATGAGTGGAAGATATGCATGATAATGCATGGACTCTCTCTGCAGCTCTGTCATTTGGTGGAGCTCAAGGGCCCTTTCCTGTGTGCAGTGGGGTCGGAGAGGCCTTTGACTTAAACACTACAGAAGGCACAAAGAGGAGCACTTAGGACTGGGAGCCAGGTAGGACGTTGGACCAGGCCTCCAGGGCAACCAGTGTCCTCTGGATTCCATTGCATGCACCACCGCAGCGTTGGAAGGGCCAGCCCTCCCCCCATTCTGCTCCGCCTCTTCTGTGTCTTCAGCAGAGCTGCACAGAGTGCCGAGCGCAGTGGGAGGGAAGTTGCCCATCCTGGTGCCGTCTTGGGATTGTGCCATTTCCAGTAGGGGAACCACAGTTTTGAAAGCTCCCCCATGTTAAAATGGCCTCTTGCTGACATCACAGGGAGCAGGGGGCATGCCAAAACTCCCCCATAACCTGCAGACCTTCTGCATGCAGGTCCTTTTGGCAACTGGGTGGGGGAAGGAAGGAGTCATCTAGCCCTGTTTTTGCTCTGCCTGCAGGCTGAAGTGAGTGACCTGTGTTCTTCTGAACCCATAAGATGGTTCTTTCTCTTTCTCACCAAGTGGAAAGAACCTGGAGCAGTCAACTGGCTGCTAGATTCATCAGGTAATTCAGACTTCCCCAGACTGGCACCTTCCAGATGTCTTGGGCTACAATTCCCAGCTTCCCCAGCCAACTATGATGGCTAGGGATGCTGGAAGTTGTAGTCAACACGTCTGGAGGGTGCCGGGATGTTGAAGCCTGCTTTAATAACATCTGCACAGAAAGCTCATCCAGGAGGACATTAAAAAGAGCTGTCTGCTCACAGGTTTCCAGTGGCTGCCTTCACTTCCTCACCATCTCTTGGGTGGGTGTTTTCTCACAGGCCCTGCTTGGAAATCACAATGATGCAGTCGAGTTGAAGAGAGGACTTGGAAATTCATCCATCTGGCCAATTTGGATAGATCTGGACATCACCACTCGCTCCATTTCCTTTTCGTCTCACCATGGCTAAGAGTGCAGAAGTAAAACTGGCCATCTTCGGCCGTGCTGGAGTTGGGAAGTCGGGTACGTGTCATGCTTCATTCTTTTTCATTCATCCTTCCTTTGAGTTGTGTGCTGTTCTTCGAAAGAAGTTCTTCGCAGGTGAAGAAGGATCCTGTGCAGGCACATGGCTGGACAAAGGAACCTCTTGAGGCTTTATGTGTCCTTATGTGTGCCCTGGTAGAGGCTCATTTCTGTTGGTGATTCCAGAGCACAAAGAGTTGGTACTATAAAGGTGTTGTCTGTAGACCATTTAAACAAGGAGGGCAGAACGTCTTTCAGCTGAATTTAATTTCAGGGAAGCTCTTGGGAGCTACCATCCAGTGGTGAGAAGAGCTGAAGACAAAAGGGGTGGAGCTGAATTTAAAAAAAAAGGTTTTGGTGCCAAGTCTGAGGTTCTGCACCCCTGTTACAAACAAATGCATAGAGGTCATTGTCTAAGCTGCACTGTGACCGGCAAATATTATCCTTGATCCTAGAAATATATAACGTTGCTAGAGCTACTCCCCCCATGTAAAATGAAAAAAACAGTGGGAAGAAGGCTGTGTTAGAAGGCATCAATGCAACATGCAAGTTTTCTGCGTGCAGAGTTATTTATGGAAGTGTTGTCTTTGAACATGCAATTTCCCACCTGCCATTTTAAGAGGTACGTGATAGCAAGAGTGGCACCACCCCTGATTGTCCCGGGGAACATGCTGGAAATCAAGACGTACGTTTGTTAGATTTGAGAACTTCAGGTAGGAGTCTGAGGAGCAGGGAGGTGCTTCAACGGGCTGTGAGCAAGTGATCCCCCCCCCCCCCCCGGGAAGGACCTGCCTGCATCCAGCTGGTCAGGTGAACCGTGCGCATCACAAGTAGCATCGGACCTTTAGCGTGGTTGACGTTTGCTAAAGCAAGCAGAGATGTCTCCTGGGACTATGCTTGGTGGTCACATCAGTCAAAGCCAGGGAACCAGACCTCCTTGGCCCAGGACCAGGCCTCTAAGGTTACCCTTGGTTCCTTGCCCATTTTTTGCTTTTTCCCTGGCTTGCAGATCCCTACAATGTACAATGTGCTCTTTTTCTCATCGCATTCAGGTGCCTCCTTAAAATAGATCTATTTGCCCTGGCTTAGCCTCTATGAGTGTTCCTGAAATATATGCCTCAGAGCAGGGCCTCTGGGTGTGTTTGCTCTTGTTTTAGTTGGTAACATAATCAAGGCACTTATAACTTGGGACAGATGAATCTGTCCATTTCGGTTTCTCCCCTTTTCCCGATCTTGCATTCCTTTTCTCCTATTTCCACATCAGGTTTTGAATTTTCTGAAAGCCTGTGTGAAATTTCCACATGCCGTTCTCCATAAGACATGCCTTTTTGTATGCTAATTTGCCCAATGTCATTCAATTTTATTCAGTGTCTTTACTAACATACCCAGTTTTGTATGCACCTTTCCACAACAGTGCTCATTTTTCTATGCATTTTTGAGTGGAGAACTGCATTGCAAATGCAGAAATGCAAATGCGGAAGATCGTATTTCAGGTTGCAGATTGCTAGAGGAAGGGCAGATCAGGTAGGCTGAGCCAATGTCTTCCTCATCCTTAAGCTGTATAGATGGTGGCAAAGGGGTTCCTGAACACAGCGATGCCTGAGACTCACCAGGGTCACAATAAATCTCCTGCGTCTGCAGAGACGGGCAAAGAGAGATGGTCTCAGTTGCTGGAAGGGCTCCTGGGCTGTGTTGACCTTGGTGCAGGCCTACTGTAGAATAAAAATCCAGGCCGCTATCAGAACGGAGCAGCATCAACTATGACAACTATGTTTTTGGCTTTTCCATAGCCCATTCTATGTGCTTTATAGCTGTTACTTGGGAGGAAAACTTGCCTAATGTTGCATTGGCCTGTACTGCCTGCAAACCTTCCTTTTGGCTCTCCAATACTGGCCAGGCAACTAGAGGTCCATGCCAATAGTTCAGGCCAAAACGTTTTCCAAGAACCTGGAGGAGAAATGGGCTTGATCCCCAACAAGAAGCAATATGCATGTAGCAATAAGTAAGAGAACTGTGTTGCCCAGACGGGCACACTTTGCTTTTCTTTGCTTCGTCCACCTATTTCTGGGTACCAGCCAAAGGTTAGATTTACTCAAGGGCTATGCATCTTGGTTGGATGCTGTTTGAAAGTGGAGCCAAAGGTGGTTTTCAGACTTCCTGTAAGGCAACTCTTCCCTAAAAGGGTCCAAAGAGAAATGAGGCAGACCTGATGTTTCATTCCTGCACTGGACCTCTTCTGTAGGACATTGGGGCAGTGGCCAGACCAATGCCAATGCCTCCTCTTGCCAGGCTACTCAGGAGGTCCATCTGGGGGCAGCTGTTGAAGGGGAAACAGCACTTACAGCTCTGAAAATGCATATAACCCACCCCTGAGCAAGGACCTTGATGCCCTAATGGCCTGGGATCAGGATACCTGAAGGAACATCTCCTTCCCTACATGCCCTCCTGCCCCTTAAGATCTGCAGCAGAGGCCATGCTCCGGGAACCCTCCTTGAAGCAGATTAGGAGACAGAATACCCAGAGGAGGGCCTTCTCTGCGGTGGCATCCTGGCTATGGAATGCGCTCCCCAGGGAGGTCTGCCTGGCACCAACATTATACGCTTTCCGGCACCAGCTCAAGACCTTTTTATTCACCCAGCATTTTAATGTTTTTTTAAATTCATTATGTTTTACTTCAGTCGTGGGTTATTAGTCTTATTAGTATTATTATTGTTTGGGGTATTATATGATATTTTATACTGTTGTATTTATGGAATTTTGTTTGTAAGCTGTCCAGAGATACATAGTGATTGGACGGGTTAGAAATATCCCAAATAAATAAATATTTTTCCCCCTGTGCACACCTATACTTTAGAGCCTTGGGAACACAACTGCTAAAGATACAGACCTCAAGATGCAGGATTTTGGAACAGTGATATTTCTTGTTTCCTCTTCCAGTTTTGGACTTAAAAAAGAGAGAGAGGCTATTTTGAAGGCTCCAACTGTACTTTACTGTTTTTTAATGTTTGGCCTAAAGTAGTTGCTATTTGAGTTAACTTTATGGGATTAACTTCCTGGGTTTTCACTAGAATATTTTAAATACAGAAGGCAAGTCCAGAACACTTCACTGTCTCAGGTGGAATAGCAAGTGGTGTCCCCTTCCAAGTCATGGGGTACGTTACCCCCAGGCTGGTCAGTTCCTCTCCCTGGAAGTAGAAATAGAATAATTGTAAATTAATTAGCAATGTCTCTCCCTTCATGACAACCAAAACATGCTGCCTGAAGGAGCAGGTTCACTCTGCCTAATTAGGATGGCCAGGTATCCTACTTTACAGAGGACAGTCCTCAGATTTAAAGAGCTACCAGAAGACAGTTGTCAGTTTAATGGGTTTCCCAGGCTATCTCTGGAGAGCCCTTGAATTTCCCTATTGACACTTAGCACTTAAACAATGGAGAACAGGTACCCAGGTTACCTGGTAAGTCTTTTTGTTTATAGTATATTTTTCTTTAAATTGCAAATATTATTTCTGAATTTGTTCCTCTACATTTATTTATTTATTAAAACATTTCTATGCCGCCCCTTGCCGAAGCCTCGGGGCGGCTCACAGCACAGAATAAAATGCAATAAAATACAAAAATAACAATATAAAACCAACAATATAAAATAAATAACAATATAAAAGAATACAAATATAAATTTGTATCTGCACATACAACATTTGGGGTTTTGTGTCTCATTTTTGGTGACACACTGCCTTCCTTTTGGCAGTGCATAAGTGCTGTCCCTGATGGTGTGGCAGATCTTGGTTTTCTGTAAGTTTGGTTTCTATTCCTGGCATCTTGATTAAAAGCTACCAGAAAGCTAAAACCAGTCTGTAGGAATTAGCATTGTGAAGCCTCAAAAAAGTGAAAAAAGGACAGAAGAAAAAGACCTGCTATGTGGCCAGTTTGAATTTCCTTGGATGCTTAAAAAAGGGGCTTTGCGAATTACTTAGGTTTTCAGAAGAACTTTTCAGCAGCTTGGTAAATGCCCTATAGCAGCTACTTTTTCTGGAGTCCGTGAAAAAGGAAGAAGGCAATGGGTCCAAAGGCCCCTGGCTTTCCCAGACTCAGCCTGGGAAAACATGACGGGGAGGCGGGTGTCACCTGGGAAATTGTACCTGACTGGGCCTCTCCTTGTTACAGACTGAAGGTGCCACACGGTGCTGCACATTTCCATGTTTCCGCTGCACCCACAGGTGACGGCGCAACTGTAGGCTCTATGAAACAGAGGACACCTCCAAAAGAGAAACAACCCATGGCAGCAATTCAAACAGAGCATGGGTCCTCAAACTACGGCCCGCGGGCCAGATCCGGCCCACCGTGCCCATTTTTCCAGCCCACTGTAGAAGTTTTGGACTCGCTGTGCACACACGGCGTGCACATGGCGAGGTAGCGGCTTGCTTGTGCCGAGAGTGTTTTGGACTCGCTCAGAGAAAATGACCTCTGTGCGCCCCTGCCTTGCTGGACGTGCGCGCCCCCCCAGCCCGCATTCCCCCCACACACACCGCCTCGGCAGCCCGCTCCCATTGCCGGCACCTTTCAACTGGCCCCCTGTTCAAAAAGTTTGAGGACCCCTGAAATAGAGGATGGTTCTCTGTAAAAGAAGAAGAAAAGACACGTGGTCACCCTGTCTGTCATTCTGTCTTGCTACATTCAAACTAGGAGCTACATTCAAACATTCAAACTGCCACCTAATCTGGAATCCAGTCCCAGAGTAGGAAAGCCCATCGAGTGCAGTTGGCCTGCAAGATAATTTGAATGAATTGCATTTGTATAAACCGCACTCCAACATTTGAGAATAATGGGAAGAGGGTGAAAGAAAGAGCACTCAAAAAACGGCTGAGTTTATGCCCTGAGATAATTGGTTTTATTATTTAGAACTTATTTTAGTGCTAGGGGAGTTGGCTGCAACACCCTTTTCTTTCTTAGTTGCAGATTACATTATGTGGGTGTACCTGTCACTTTGTAAGCTCAGCTCC